ATTTTGGTTCTCGTAAACAATAATGAGAATCCAATGTATTGAAAACACCTGTGTAGTATAATGATTTACATATTTGTTCCTTTTTTAGCGGATTACGATCAGAACCACATGCAAATTATAAGCCTTAAGAAACTTCTCGGGTGTTCGCAAGTTCAAATCATTCAAATTTTCGTAATATTTCCAGGAGTTGTGCCATATTCATTTTTAACGAAACGTGCCGCTCGTCTCTGCGTACTCTCAATGTCCTTTATCTGTTTTTGAATGTGCGGATCCCATGCGCAACCTCCATATATTCAAGCTGTGGTCTAACTAAAGCAAGATAGGCTTGCTGTTTTACGTTTTCTGGACATTTACGTAAGTTTTTTCTTATAAAGCCAAGAGATCTGCTGGCTTTGCCTATAATTGCAGCGATTTAGATCACGGGATATCATCTCAACTCCAAGGTATTTGTGGTGATCAACAGCTTCCAAGGGTTCTCCGTGGATGGTGCGTTGCACAGTATTTCCCATTTTTTTTTGGAACAAGGATTGTTGATAGAGCATGTTTTAGCCATGTTTTTAAACTAGGAATTATTTTGAATGAATGATAAAACAATTATTGAATTCGGCTTTCGTATCATATGAAGAATTATGGAGATCTCGGAGGGTGTTATCCACCTAGGCCATAACACCCCTCCTCGATCTCCATAATTCTTCATAAGATTACGAAAGCCGAATTCATTAATTGTTAAATATGCTTTGATCTTTCAACAAATTCTCTCAACCAATTTTTCAGTCAAGAAATTTATGGAGGCCAGAGTGGAGAATTTGTATCTTGATCTTGGGGCTTAAAGATTTGGTAAAGGTATCAGCTGCACACATCTACCCAAACTTCCCTTGAGTACCCTACCGTGAAGCAGAAAGCCCATATTCCTGGACTGTGTCGATAGGAACACTCCTGAACGCACTACTTTTTACCTTCATATAAATTTAAAATAAGCTTCTCTGTATAACTTGTTGGACACCAAAATAATTTGAGCAGTTTGCCTAGACTTTATCTAATCGCGTCTGACTATAAAACTAGTGAATATCCGAAGGTTTTTTTTTTACCTTCAACCCTGAGGTAAGGCTTCCAGCTGGTATTAGCCTGTTTAACATTCTAAGGCAATCTTAACACTTCCGTTCAGCGAAGTACTTGTGACAAATGACAACGAGTTTGATATTGTCTGGTCTGCTACACAGCCGTTTTTAGTGTCGTCACGCAACGCTCCTCCACACTAACGGCTGCTGAAAATCGAACCACATTCCTTTCCCGCGATAAGCCAATTAGAATTCAGCTCCCATTTTCTGGAAGGTGTTCGCGCCACGTTTGGGGCATTGTGACTCTTCTAATCACAGCTTTGCTTTTATCGTTGCCCAATGTGTCAGCGACAGAAAAATCAAAATCGTCGCGTGAAAGCAAGCAATCAACTAGAGTAGTGTTGTTGTAGTAGAGTCCTTTCAAAATTTTTGAGATAAGCAGCAACAGCAAGCAAGTCGAGCAAATATGACGCACAACATGGATATGCTTATAAAGTTGCCGGGTATAGTTTCGGGAAATCGCTTGTCGATAATTCATAAGATTGCTTTTGTTTGAGTCAGTACTCGCTGAGAGTTTAGTCTTCCCTGTCTTCACATGTACAACAACACAATGAGTACATCCGGCACATGAAATTCATCATACAAATGCACATTAAAAAGAACCAACCGATCCTGGTAAGAGTCTTATAGGCCTATCAAACCTTTTTTTTTTTCACTTAGAATTTTGTTAACCGCTTAAAACAAACTTTTCTGCAAACAACCTTTTCGTTGCTTGCAGACACAGAGCTCATCAAAATTCAGCGACGATTGATTGATTTGTCGAAAACTGAGAAGCGTGTTCGCTCCTAGCGCCCCGCGGCTCACGTTTTGTCAAGTTTCTTATACATGATTGGTTTGTTCGTTAGACCACAAACACAAAGAGAAAGGAATGTGGTTCGATTTTCAAGTAGACTACGAGTAGTCCCCCATTTTTCCTCAGAGATAGTAGAGCGTGCTAAACGCGAGCGCGCGTGAAAATCACCCCACGCGAGAAAAGGCGACACGCGGCAGGGAGAGGGAAAAATCATTTTTTCATCATCAAATCATCATCATTTTTCTCTCTCCCCGCCGCGTGTCGCCTTGTCTCGCGTGGGGTGATTTTCACGCGCGCTCGCGTTTCGCACGCTCTACTATCCCTGAGGAAAAATGGGGGACTACTCGTAGTCTATTTTTCAGCAGCCGATAGTGGTGAGGAGCGTTGCGTGACGACACTAAAAACGGCTGTGTAGCAGACTATCGGTCGGGCCGTTAGTCGAGCAAACAAAGACAAAATCTAGTCAGCGGGAAAACACAATTCATTGAGGCAATTCTCGAAATGTTTAAAGAGCAGCACGTTAAGAAAACACTACAAACCACGCTAGAATATAACCTGAACGCTGTGACCGCTTGGTTATAGGTGACTCATATTGTGAGCAGGTCGCGTATACATTAATTACGCACCCGATCAACGGCTTATTTAAACAGATTTAAAGTTGCTTTGATTCAAGTGTCTAGTGTATGAGTGAAATGCGAAGTCTTTTGACTACCCCAGTGACCTGCAGCTATTGATCCGTACAGCCTACGACCAAGTTGTCTAACTAGTCTCAGTTGTTTAAAAGGTGGATAACTCAATCCGGCACCGGATAAATCTTTCTTTCTTTCTCGCGCTCCGCGTTCGTTCTCGAACGCTCGCTTCGCTCGCCTGCTACAACCAGTTGCAAAAGTACTTGAGACACTGTACCGTATTTTGGCATAAATGGCCTGTCCATGATCTTGTGCTTGTGATTCCCCGTTCACCCCTTATCAAAGTTGCTAGCAATACAAGACCATGCTCAAAACTTGGAGGAACAACTTTTAATGGGAGGGAGGAGGGAGGTCAGTATTATATCTCACAGACCTGTGACCAGCAGCGATTTGAAGCAAGAAAGGTCGTTTTTTCGTGGGAGTGTCTCAACATTTTTGTAACTGGTTGTAGCTGATGTCTTCGAAAAGAACGAAGAACCGAAAAGAAAAATAAAACGTCTTTGTACAGGCCGGCAAATTACTTCCAAGCGCCTGCTAAGTAGGCTAGGTTCCTGGGTGATAAAATCTATTTCGGTTTTATCGCAGTGGGTGGAAAGTTGAAAAGTTTTGTTGTTGTTTTTTTTCTCCCAACAATCAAATCAAATCAACAAGCACTGCATTTTTGCTTAATACGTAGCCTGTTCCAGGCTCTCAGATAGTGGGGAAGACGCGAAAGTGATAGGTACGTGAAAAGGGGCGCAGGGCGGGAAAATGGTAAAAGGGAGGGAGAGAAGGCCTGCAATCACTTCTTTTAGGACCCTCTTCCGCCCACTTTTGGCACGTTTGAGATAATAAGATTTCGGCTGTCAAACATTTGAAATATCAATGAGTACGAGTACGAATGTTTCGCGCGGAGCTATCTAATCACTTCCGGGTGTGAAAAGGGGGTCAGTAGGCAACATCCGACTATTACCTTTTACCAAAGGCTGCTTGTTCCAATGAATTTTTGCTCTGGCGGGTAGATTATGCTCTGGAGGGTTCTACCTTTTAACTGAGCAAATGTGACTTTTGCTTCTTGTTTAAGGCTGAGAGGTCGTGACAAGCATAATGATTTTTAGCGGGTATTGTGTTTCTGGTCGGTATGATTTGCCCTGTGATGCAAGAGCATTTTCTTCGACCTCTTTTGAAACGTAAAGTTCTTCATTGCGGCTAAACTGAAAGGTTTTAGGTTGTTTAAAGTGCCTCCTGGATCTCAGTGAAAGGCGATTTTCTCTGTTTCGTTAGTGTGCAGATCTAAATTCCGAAGAATGGATTGCAGCTTAAACTGAAGCTTCACTAACTATGGAGAATTGTGTTGGGACTCGTTCATGATTGCTCCAGCTCGTGAGTCTTCTTAAACTTGGATACAGCTGAAATATCAAGCTTTTGCCGAAGCCGGTCGGCAGGATCCCGGATTGCAAAAACATCTTTTCCACACGTGCCACGTTCACAAGGCAGGTCTTCTGTTCCTTCCTCAAATTTCATAAATAAAGTTCGTTGAACAGAAGTTATCGTGGATTCTCCTATTCCCCCGAGTGACAGAAACGACCCATAACTGAAAAGTGTTGATATAACCTGTCAAATCTGACCAATCAGGGGGTTTAACAGGAGGTGGTATACCGGAACAAGCCGTTGAAAGAAATGATAACAGGCTCCGCCGTCCTAGCCTGGGTCCAGGCTCCGCACTGGGGGAAAAAGGAGAAAAAAATCGGCGTGGGCGAAAAACATAAATCGGCGAGCGAAACGAGCCGAGAGGTAGTCTGGGGAGGGGATTCGCTCGCCGATATTTTTCTTATTTGACCCCTTTTTTTGCCTTTTTCCCCCAATTCGGAGACTGGTCCCAGGCTACCGCCGCCCTTCCTCCCCCCAGTTTACCCCGTTTTATTTTCATGTTTGCGCTTCCTCATCAATCCCCGCGGACCCGACTATCTCGGAGCCTGGAACAGGCTACTTCAGGGAAGGTGCTTTCAATCGCATGGAATTTTACCGACAAATTCAAGAACATTGTTCGCCCCTTTTTTTCCGTCAAAAGAAAACATGTTTTCGGGTCATCGTTATTCTCTCTGAATCTGCAATAGATCATTGGATGTCACTAATTGCACGGAATCTAGAAGGGAAAAGATTTGCTGTTGAAATATAGCTCTTTAATTTCCTATAACAGATTAGCTCATTACCGTAATATTAAACACATACTTAAAGGACAGAAGCTATTCACGCTGAGGACGGTCAAGATGAATCAGACAACAAATCGCTAATTAACTTCTTTTAGGTTTGACGATTTTAAGTAAATTGACTATAATGTTTCGCTCGTTCTCCTTTAAAGTTCATTACAATGTTGTTACAGTCCAGTCAAGTTCCACTTTTATCATTGCATCACTAACACTATATGACTCGAAAGTCCTTTTTTAACTTCTTTCCTGGTAAAGTTGAAAGGGACGTCTGTCGTCCATCTTTGATTCCCCTGGCGGGTAATTTGGAGTGGGAACCAGCGCTCTTTTCAGGAGCTGTGTTTCCCTTTACACGGGCATCAAGCCACAAACCAACCAAATCGATGTCAGCACTCAACTCATCAACATACATATCACTCAGTTGTTGACTCATCATTGCCAAACGTTTCTCCAACTCCTCTAACGGATCTGACTTGTTAGGCTCTGAGTTCTTTATTTTTGGTACTTTCCTTTTGTTTTGGTCAAGTTTCCAGGAAATATGCTTCTTCCTCACCGGATGTTCCTTTTTCTTTGGCGTTTCTCGTTCGTCTCCTAAGCAGTTAAGCATCTCCTTAAATTTCTTCATCATGAAACGTCCTAGGTAATATCTTCCTTTGGTGACTTTTTTGACAGTGCCGTAGTCATATATGAGGATAGCTATGAAAATATTAATCCATATGAAGTGAAGGCACATGTTGAAGAGAATGAAATAGAGAGGACCGATGATGTCATGGCAATCCTGGAGTTGTTGGACCTCATTGTTGACAACCCCCTGGATGAGAAGAGACTGGAGAGCAGAATGGGGCGCAGAATATTCCAGGATCTCCTTTCCGAACTGAAGAAATCCGAAATGAGTGAAAGCGAACATGAAAACGAAAAATCCAACCGAGCAGTTTATAAGCGCCAAGGTTGATGTCTTCATAACATCGGATAGATGCCCGACATGGCTGTTAAATTTGAACAAATACAACAACTTGAAAGTATTAAAGAACATCAGAAGAGCCAGTAATGCCGTCTCTGTGTCATCAAGGAGAACTTCTCTATCGAAGCTTATAAACTGAAATATGTTCTCATTCAGTTTTGCAGTGTTCGCAGATAGTTCGATTTCTTTAAAGATGTGAATAATGATGAAACTAATCGCAATCAAGATCTGAGCCAACTCAATATAGTTCAGGAACTGAGAGAAGTAACGTTTGGGATTTCGAACCATTTCCTTTATTTCACTGAATATAAAGTAAATAATGAAGATGGACAGCAAAATTTGGCAAAAGAGAAGGACTGAACTGTATCCGGCGCTGAGGTTGTAGACATGCATTGTGTGAATCATGTGATTCGATTCAACTTGACCACTTGGTGAAAATTCCACTGTTATCCAAACTGAACTGAAAAGGTTTACACGAGAGTTAAACACTGTGAACTCAACCACGACAGCACTGGTGTACCTGTCGAGCCAGTTAAGCTTGTTTAGTTCGGAAATGACCTTTGATGCAGTTTTTTCGGTGTAACCAAGATCTGCTAAATATCCTCCCTGGCTATAAAACGAGCGAAGTCGTCCCCATATTACGAGGCTTTCACTTTCTTCAGCCGAGGCATAACGCCAGGGTTTAGGGCAAATTTCGTCCAACTTTTCAGCTGAAGTGTTTTGTATTGCATTGATAAGGAGCCACCCTGGTTGGTAAAACTTTGTTTTATCTTCAGCGCCGAATGAGTAAAGTGCAATGCAGGAGTTAAATGCACCTTTAGCTTCGTCCACAACTTCGCAAGAATCTGAAAATGAAAATCATTTTGTTAACAGTTATATGAGTCGATAACAATGTGATGGTAAAAAAAGAATAAGAAAAGCCAAAGCCTATTTTAACTCTGCCGTCCTGCCCATTTCGTCTTGTTTAAAGCCGGCTCCTTCCTATCACCACTACCCTGACGCAGTGTCTGCTAAATTCCCTTTATTTCCAAGTGTCCAATTTATCTGAAGACGTTGTCACTTATTTGAACGAAAACAATTGCTCTGATCGTTCATGTCCCATTAGCGACATTTCTCGGCTTTAAAAACCCAAGGGATGATAGAGCGTTGTACCCGTAGGTCAATTTATGGTCCATGGTCAAGGACACGTGCCCTCAAATAGCACTCTGGACTGTTAAAAGCCAATTGCGCAAAAGGTCGATAAGGCAGCAACTCGTCGAAGATCCCTCAAAATTTCCAAATTGATGAGGATTGATTTCTTTACCATTGTGCTCAATAAAGACAATAAAGACTTCGAGGCCCTGAGACAGCATGGGGATAGTGGCTGCTTCACCTTTGAGAGGAACAGGCGTGATGTTCGAGACCTTCCATATAGCCGGGACTATCCCAGAAGAAAGAGAAGGGTTCAAAATGTAGGCCACTGGTTCAGTAAGTTGGCGGTAAGTCAGTAAGTTGGCGGGTGAAATGATATGAGGGCCGTTTGGCCTCTCAGTGGACGCTCAAGAGTTTTCTAGACATGTAAACATTAAACATATTCAAAGGTATGACAAGAATTAGAGCTGTTAACTTAAATATATATACTATATATACTTTCCCTTGTCATGAAAACCCTTTGCTTACCTTTCATCACTCGTAGCTGCCTGAGTCGTGGCATTCCAACAAGAACGGCATCACCGTCGCTAATATATGGGGTGGAATTCGACACGGCGACGTCCTTGCTATCCACATAGAGACCTGGTATAACGACATCTCGTGCCCAGTCCCATAGTGTAACTTGGGATGAAATCTATGAGAAGGAAATATTGATATCTTGAGGTGAAATTATTATTGCATACACAGTTTTCTTATATAACTGAACTTAGGTGGTAGTGAAGAAAATCTGGCTTTACAATAAGATAGTAGAGGGAAGAGATAAGACCATGAGATCGTGGAAAGGATAACAGCTTTCCATTGATTTATTCCATCTGTTGTTTCCGTATATGGTTGCTTGATGTATTTGAAACATAAAATTAATAACCCATAATATAATCCAGTTAGCGTCTCCCGCCAGACTCAGCTCTGTTTTCGCTCGCCACCTCGTTAGATCGTCACATATTTTATGTCAAAATTTTAAATATCTTCAATATCTAAACTGGCGAGGAAAAAACTCGGAGCTTAACTGCAAGGAAACAAAAACCTGCAATAAAACAAACAGTTAAACAAACCTAAGTGAGATGAGCGTGTTATATATATTCCACTCCCGCGGAATCAATGAATTTCTCTATTAAATCCCCCCTGCTGGGGACTTTTTTATACAAAAGCAGACGCATAGATTTTTCCTTTGTTTTCATTGATGAATCTGGTTAGCAGTGTTGTATATGGATGGCGGCTTAATAGAGGCCTGGGCGTGTCAGTGTTATTCACACCTTAGCGCCTTACACCATGTATACTAAATACAAGAGTAGGAACAAGCAATGATAATGTTATTAATAAAGAATATATACCTCATTTAGTCGTCCGAATGTTTTCTCCACGGACGAGGACAGATGGTAGCTGTCCTGACTGCGTCCTCCGTAGCAAATCATCATCACAATCCAAAGATATATAAGATAACCGAGAATCCTCCGCATGGCTCGATACATATATAACTCCCTTATGCGATATTTTCGCGCACGCTGCAATTGCTTCTTGTTTGGCGGCTCTGGAATCTCAATACCATCTTCCTCGTTTTCACCGTTGTCATTTTCATCGAAGCTTCTGCTTATTTTAATGTCGTCGAAATGAAGAACAGTACTCGGCGTCTCAACAATACCTCCAAAATCTGACTTACAAAAATGAGACAGTACCAAGGCTACGACAACGATTTTGACTGGTTCGGACACAAAAATGTCCAGAAATGTGGACAGTACTATCGAAATCAACCACTGTTCGCTTAAGTCCTTGCCCCATTGCAAGCTGTAAAAGATAACAAACGTAGCCGATGTAACCGAGGAGAGAAAACAAAGTATCCACGCAAAAAAGGTGAAATAGTGCGGCAATGTACAGCGCTGGCCTGTTCCCATGCGGTTCCTTGTCACCTTGTGAATGCTAAGTGGCCTTGTTACGGTGTATTTTCGCTGTATTTGGGCTTCTTTCTCAATTGAAGACTTTGTGTGACTAAAGATTCCTACGATCAGTAAATTGACAGGTATGACCACTAACAGGCTCTCAACTGCTATGATTAGCTGCCGAAGATTAAGGACTAGACTTCCCAGCTTTAAAGTACCCTGTTTCGTATCATTCTGAAGGTCGAGCTCGTAGAACATGGCGCTAGCAAGCATGGTAGTAAGCAGGAGCGAGAGGCAGCAAGATAGGCGTTGAACGCGAGTGAAGCGTTTTCTAGGAGGTCTAGTGGCCACTGAAAACCACAAATGCCCATCGCCGAATTCCTCAGCAATTCTGTTATGGAAAGAAACCTGGAACGAAAACAATTTTTTTGCTTCGTCAAGCTTATTGCATCAAAGAACACATGATTGACTACTCGAACGGATAAATAAATCAAATGGACAATTACGTTAATGACCAATGTCTTAATTACAAGGCTATTTTTACACACCGTTTGACAAAGAAGTAACTTATGAAACAGTTCAGATTTATCGTAGAGTCAGAAAAACCTTAAATGGCTAATCAAAGCACCTCTTGGCAAAGTTGAAAAATTCAAGTCTTAAACTTCCAAAACATCGTTCCTTAATTCCTTGACTTTAATGACCTACTTCGCGGTCACTCGTGCCCAGCTGACTCAAGTTTCGGTGTTCATGCTGTGGTTTCTATGCTTCGTTGTCAATAAAGAAGTTATTTCTCTTACCTTAAAATTCATTTTCTTTTCGTCATGCGTTCCCGACTCCAGAGTCTGATCCACCAGTCCATCACCCTTTTCGACAGCCAGCCATGTGTAACATATGAACGTCCTTAACTCTCCACTAGATACATCTAGCACCTTAACAGTGTTAAGGTACCATGAAGGACTGGACCCAGAATTATCATGCCAAACGCGCACACCCTTTACGGGACCAATGTAATTGTTGAGCGAGATAGTAAAGGACGTTATACTCCCTCTTGCAAATGGAATTGCCGTCCCACCTTTTAATTGGTAAGGGCGACTAGATCCGGCCTCTCCATTTATAATAAGAAACACATTAGCAGTGGTACCCGAATCATACCAGATTCCTGTTGATAACTGGATGTCGTATCGATAGCTCCAAGGTGAAAGAGATCCCAAGAATGGTTTTTCCCCAATCTGAAGAGATAAAACGCGATTTTGAACTGATTACCCTCAATGAAAACAACTTCAATTACATTAATGAAAATTTGTGTCAGTGCTCTGATAATGCATTTTCCGATTAAAGAAATAGCTTCACGTGCTAAAAATATTTGTTGTTGGAACGATTTTAAATTGAATATTGAGCACGTAAGGTGCCAGTTGGGGGCAATCAAATACACTGTGATTCAAAGTAAGTATACATCACAACCTTCGAGCGTAAACGCTACAGAAAAAAACTTTTGCATGTGCGGTGGATTCGGCAGAAAAGGAAGAATGCTTCCATTAGAAATAAGCTTAAAGTCCCATAGATATGGTTGCTGTCCTTCGCTCCTTATATCCGGTTCCGGTAGTAGATCTCAGAGAGAAGAGCTCCTGCTCTCTCGCTCCCTTTTTTTCATAAAAAACTCTCTCACTCGCGCTTCACGCTCGAGAAAAATTTTGAGCTCGACTTGTGGGCAAGTTTAGAGAAGGTTGTACTGGAAGGGCAAGTACGTCAAGTACCTGGGAAAAGATCCCTAAGTAGGTCGAGAACCTTGACAAGATAGGAGGATCGCATCAACGACTGCTCAAGCTTGCTCACGCTTATTAGATACACCACGAATGACGCTGGAAGATAAGCACAGAATCGCGTTCTGTGACACGTTCTGAGGAGAATGCGACTATTCATTCATTGGCAATAAAAACCTCTTTCAGTAAATTATCTAAAATTGTGTCACTGTTCTAGTAATGATTTTTTTCGATTTGCTTTCGTTTTTAAGTTTCTCTGACCCTTATGACAAGGGATCTCACATGGAGAGGCTTGGGCAGCTATTCCTTTTTGTGCACATACCTTCAATGTGTCTTCTTTATCCGTCTTCCGGGCCCAAATAAACAGCACAAGATACAAACCAAACACACAGCTTACGGCTATGATAACTGAGACATTCCCGGTCTCCGGAAGGCGAGTAAATTCGATGAAAACTTTGTCAAAATCAATAGGATTTGGGGCCACAAACAGCTGACCCGCAAAAGCCGTTAAATGTTTACAAAGACAGTGAATGTTGTCGACTGTTGTCGTCTCAGCGACCTGTTGATCAAAGACATAGAAAGTATTATTTCAGCGTGAGCACCTTTCTACTGTCAAAATAGCTGTTTAAAGGTGCGCTTTACGAAAGAAAAGAAACAACAACAAATATGGAGTCTACGCCCAAGCCACGTTGGTGGGAGGAGACAGTCCGCACCACTGCGTCACCCCTTGCTCTCGCACTATAGGGCTTAGGAGAACAAGAAAACTTACCCTACACCCGTCAGTTGTCCACTTTGAGAGCTCCGTACTCCAGTAAAGACAAGCAGCTGGTATAACTTGCATGGTATAGTTTTCGTCCCCTTTGAAGTACTGTGGCTTAAGGTACGACTTGGCTTGATTCGGACCATCCGCAGGAGGTGCATCCTTATATTTCACACATGATCGTTTCGACCGTCCATGACCACTGCATCTCTTTGCTCTGGAAACCACAGGAGTATTTGAATTGATTTGTATTCCAATAAAGTAGTATCCTATCTGACTGACATGCGCATTGTCTACGTAAACAGCATATGGATCACGCGAGCAGTTGCCAAAACCAGACGTAGATCGAATGCAGGTAGAGAAATCAGGAACTGTGGCGTTGAAGTCGCTGTTGTTGAGTGACGGCCGTTCGTTGTATTTTATAGACACCAGGAAGTCTGTGGCGTTATTATCTGGTCGTACCTTTATTATTATAGCCATTCCAGAGGTAGTTATATTTATTTTATGGTAAACGGTTCTGTTAGCTCCAACGTAATGAGATCGTGAATTGTTTGTCGAGTTTTGAGTGTTTGGAATAATGATTGAAATAGGCGATTTCAAGTCGGTGACATTAAGCAGGTCCCCAATGCTGTTCCTTAGCTCAAGGCTGGAAACGCCAGTAGTGACTCTGGATCCTGTGGAATCCCAGGAATAATACGTGTATTCAGTCGTCATCATCTGTCAGCCGAGAAAAAAAAACAGAATTATTCCCAGCCACCTGTTGATTCGAAAGTGTAGTTGAAATCCTGCGTATTGTTGCTTTTTCAAGGCTACCAAACAAATGATAAAATTACTAAGAGTAGTAGCATTGCAGGCGACCTTAACCCTTGCCAAGAAGAGAGCAGGATGCATAAATCGCCTCATCCTGCCCTTGATTGGCTCCCACCCAACACGATCACATGACTTAGCCGCAGGCGTAAAGGAAAACGGTACATCAGCTTATTTGCATCGCGGTTGATGTCTTTCCCATCCTACACTTTGATTACATAGGGGATAACGTACCTCATATACAACTGTTGACAAAGACTTCTGAAGAAGTCCTTTGTCCTAATCAGGAGCCGACTCTGATCCATGTCCTGGTGAATGGCCCCGGCGTCGTAGCTCACACGGACGCTTTGTGGTCCATAACCTCGTTGTGTTCGCTTTACAGCTTTTCTGGCGTCAAAGAATCATGGGTTCGATTGGTGCATGAAAGTCTACCATCGATCCTATAGGAACCTGTCGGGAGCTTCAAGTTCATGTCTATGTTTTTCTCGTTTTTTTTAGACGTCTTTTTTCTGGATTTTGTTTTTTTCTATTTTAATTAAGTTTTGAACTTGTTATAGGAAAATACGAGGGAAAAAAATAAGTTAACGCAGTGTCGTGGCTGCTTTCACATGACGTTTTACACGTTACCTGAGAGTCCACAAACTGTGTTTCATTCCCAAACAGATTCGTAGATGAAGGGAGAGTAAAACTGCTTCCTTGACTTGATATTACTGAACCAGCGAGTAAATCAGGCTCTTCACGGGCCACTAACAGGGATACGGACCTTCTCGACATTTCTCTTGGCTCCTCGCCGACCAGGGTGCGCGACAAAATGGTTTTTCCGACATCGTCAAGGGAATTCAAAATACCAATGGCACGTTGTTTGGCCTGCAAAAATACATCATATCCTTATCTTACCCACATTTGACTCGGAATCTTAAATGCAGATTGCATTTGTGGTACACCTTAGTTTTTCATTTTGCTGGGCCATATTTCTGGTCATGTGACGGTACAACCGCCAAGAAGCGAAAGCTGAATTTTTTAAAATTATTTCTTTTCTTAGAATGAAGATGATATGAACTTCGGAAACACAAATTTTTTTAAATGAAGATATTATCGTCGCAGTGGTAATTGCAATTTCAGCAATTGCAAATTCTTGAATTTCCCGCACCCAAAAAACTGACAACCAGAAATGCGGTGCGGGATAAGCAGACAATTCTTAGCCCATTTATTGAACTAACCAACTAATCACAAAACAAAAACAACTGTTTACACTGTTTGGACACCAAAAAATCAAACAAACTGTATACGTTTAATCCGGCCAAAGTAAATTGAACAAACAAAACCACTTATAATAACTGTCAATCATCAGGAAAACACAACTAAAATCGTTACGAGGAAATGGATTACAGGATTTCAATCAAAATATAAAAAAGAACAAAATTTAACTGTCAGCTTGTAAAAATCCACAATGAAACTTGTTTACTGTTCAGCGAATATATACTTGCTATTTTACATATCACACTTTCTTCGCATAATCTCATACTGGCACTTAAAACACACTGCCGACAAATGCACCTGTGCTTGGGAATTCAAGAAACCATTTATCTTTTGTTTCATTACGCTTCGCTGCATTCAGGCAAAGATAAATGAACAATTAACATCTTCATTCCATGTTTCATTCTTCTCACTGGTTAAGATGAACTAAACAAATTGGCCTGCTCCCAATGGATGGGTGTTCATAGCTCAGTTGGTAGAGCAATCTAGCGCTAACGCAGAGGCCAGCGGGATTCGAATCCTTTTGAAATCCCCCCCACCCCCACCCCCACCCCCACCCCTAAAAAAAGCAAACTGATTTCCCGGTTCAAATGCTATGTATATAAAAAGCTGGACAAACTGAAAGGGAGACTGTAATATAGTAAGCACGTGAAATATCTTAAATATTACAGATTAAAGAAAATAGAAGCATGACGTCTAAACGTTCACAGATGAAAGATTGTTATTACTGAGATGTTGACGAAAAATCGAGAGAGACTTCTCTTAGTTTTAAAAATAACTGTGATTGTAAAGTCTTAAGTTTATAGAAGCCTCCATATTACCTGTTCCTTCTCACTTGCAACATCTCTTATATATCTTTTCCTTGAGAGGTTAATAAACTCAAGCATTGATTCTTCAAAGCTTCCTCTTCTTCTGCGCTTTAATTTTGCCCAGTCACCAGTTGCTTCAGGTGACATAGAATTATATGCTTTTGCTCCAAACGAAGAAACTCTAAGAACGCTACCCAGACCTGACACCAAACTCATCGCACCGTCAACTAAATCTTCAAAGTTTTTGCCTCTTGATGACTCCTCTTGCAAGACTGACGTCATCGTTTGAAGGGCGTCAGTAGCAGCTTTCTAAAAATACAGTACATCGAGATGTCTATCATTGAAATTTTAATACCAATGTTAAGTCTTTGATGGGCTTCTACCTGTCAGATCAGTCTCGTTCAAATTACCGACTTAAGACAGTTGAGCTGATTCTTACAAATTCTTCATCCTTTTAATCTTAAGCCAGTCATTAGATTTTGAAACCAGTAGATAATCTCTCGGCTTGATTTTTTAAAAAAACATTAAGGTCACAAGAACAACAACAACAAACGTGATCATTATGTAATAAAGGTCTGATTGCTAAGCAAACTCTTCTCTTCAATACTGTAGGTACATCAGAAAAAAATGTGAACAATATGCATAATATAAACTAAAACTATCGTGAAAGAAAAAACCAACCCGAGGGCGACCCAGGCCGAGGGCAGCCCAGGCCACATTGGTGGGAGGCGAGTGCCCTCGCCACTGTATGCGCCACCTATGATATTGTTTGTTGTAACTTTGTTCCCACGTTACAAATAACCTCTTTCTGTAGTGTTTATACCAAAACTTATAATTACCTCTGCTTCTACGGTGACCTCGCTCAATACCGCGGTGGCATCAGCTATGACGTCAGAAGTTTGTTTTATTCTTTCCACAGTTTCTACGTTCACTTCTGACAGCTGCTTTACAATGCTCGACTTAATCTTAAGAATAGACATGAAGTGCAAAAAGCGTTACATCAGGTACATGAGAAAAATTATGGGTACGAGAGGGCATGAAAACACCTTTAGCATTCAAGAGTAAATCTGAAATGTCCTGCAACAGGAGACACTTCATTTGGAGAAACATGAAAAGTATTGCCTTCTTAACAGGAAACTGCCTAAGTCGAGTTTTCATTTTTTTAAAAGAATAACTTATTTGAGAAGAATTTAAGCGACTTGCTCTGAGCATTGCTATCTCTAAACTTGCCAATCATAAAACATGTAAGTACTGTAATACATGTAAATCTTTTAGCATAAATGTAAAGACTATAAGGGTGCATGGAGAAATAATGTCATTATGTAGAAACAAAATAGAAGAGTTATGTTACAAGAAAGCACGGACAAGAAAGAGTACAAGAGTATCTTAAAAGCTCACTACAGTTAGATCTAGTACCAGGAAGATCCTAGAAGGCGGAAAAACTTTACATCGGTTTATATGCAGAAATTTCGGCATTCACTGGCATTAATAACGACCTTTCAGCGGAGTTATCACAATAATCAGCTCGTGGTAACGCCAAACGAAATGGTCGGCCTTTATTGTCCTCCACCACTTCTTCCTACCTCTCAGCTAGGAAGATCCTCGCACTAGGGACAAGTGCAACCCTTTGCATGTAAACTGAATACAGAAAACATATGGCGCTAGGATGATCCGCCTTCTGGGATGTCCCGGGGGTGCTAGGATCTTCCTCCCTCCATGTACAAAAACAAAACTACCAGCCCACCTTCGGAAGTTTGACTGTTCAGTAGCGCACTTAAAGAAAGAACTTTTAATTACTATTTGTATCTTACGGCTAAGTCTGTTTATGATGTCGACACCCCCCAGCCTACAAGAGTTTGAAGTGCCACACTAGTCGGCCATTGACTAACTTGCTCGATCAAATGTGTTGTTGATTCTTTTACCAATGTTTGCCCCTGTCCTGTTTGTTATTGTCTTTCCTTTGTTTCTAGTGCATTGTCATTATTGTAGTTATCAATTTAGTTATTAGTGTTTTTTTCTGGACCTCGTAGTAGAGCTTACCCTGTGAGGTATCCAGGCCAGTTGGCGAAGTTTGTAAATAAATAAATAAATGTAAACAGCCCCTTACTAATGATGATCCGAGACAATTCCTACCTTTCTTCTCTTCTCTAATAACTGGTCCTGAGAAACTGGGCGGGTTTTCTTGTCATCATCAACGGCCACAATAGCTGCCTTAGCCAACTGGAAAGCACGTGATACATCACCTGACTGGATTAACTTGTTCAACTCACTGTCATCTCCAGTGGTCAGGTCTGAGGCAACATCGATAACACTCTTATCTGTTGGTTGAGACTGTTTAACCTGTCACATAAATATATAGAATGCAGCATCAGTTGGTATAAAGAAGTAAGCAAAGTATACAGGTAAAAGAATATCATGTTCTCTCTTGTAATACTGATGAACTTTTTCTGACGGATCAGTAACTCAAGCTGTCCAACCCGAAAATTGTCTGTAGGGCAGATGGCGTGTGGAAACGATATCCAATCACGGTATCTAAAATCTGGGTGATTTGTTTGGAAGTACACGAACCACTCATATGAGACAGTGCCTCGTCGAAATTGCAAAAGCAATTTCTACTTACATGTAATAATTTTAACTGTCTATGTTAAAAACGGTTACGGAAGAGCTTTCTTACCTGAACGGGAATTTTAACTTCAGTAAATGCTCCGTACATATCAGCCACTCTCACTCGGAAGTCAATGGTGAAGTTGGAGGCCTTTTCTCCAGCAGGAAGTTTTGTTAGCTTGCTTTGTTTATGGCCTTTGTAAACCACATTAAGATCATAGTTCTTTGTGAAGTAAATGTATTCATACAGCAGTGGGACATCTGTGTCCGTCCAATTGACACATGTGAAAGTGTACTCTGTTACAAGAGTGAATCCTGACTCTGGACTCACTTGACAAATTCCTCCAGCAGGAGGAATGTTGGTTGTTACTTGATACTCGGAATAACCTGGGTATCCCCCGAGTCTCTGAGCAGTCAACACAAACTTATACTTCGTATTGGGCTTCAGAACTCCCGCACGCGTGACAATTCTTGGAGAGGAAGGTCTTGTTCGAAGTTTATCTTGCAGGGTTATTACTCTATGCCATCCGCCCTCTGAAGATAGCTTGTTACTTCTCAATTCGAATAAGGACCAACGATATTCAAGACGCTTACTACATGTAGAACCTTTGCAGAGCGTTTCAAGTGCAAGTCTTCTTGATGGGTTCACTTTCGCGTCACAATTGTCATAGCATCTGGAATAAAAATAAGTTGATTACATCAAAAGTTAATTACAATAGAGAGAATTACTTTAACCGCAAACTAGGATTAGCTCGGTTTGATGAGATGTGGTTTGTACTGCGAGATGTTGAGGATTCGAAGAAGGGTTAGGGTTGCCCTACAAACAGCCGGACCTTAGCGTGGCTTGGATGACCACGTAGAAATGACTAAGTACATTGAGTCTTATGTAAAGTCAGACACCTTGCACGAGAAAGTCAAAGTTGGCTTCTTATTGGTAGAAAAAGGGACGCAAGTTGTTTTAGTCTAATACAACAGCAAAGTAATAAAAAAATTGCTTACAACACTTTTACTGAAAAACACTTTCCAAACAACTGTTATTCAAGCTGCTTTTCACTGGAGTGAAAAAAAGGAACTGTAGGTCAGCATTGATGCTCACGCAATAAAACTTCGTGTGCAGGGTTTTCGCGCCATTTTTAAAGGTAGTGCGAGAACTACCTAACCTGGTACGACAACAGAGAGCTACAAGAACCACGAAAACCATAAAAGCCGTAAGAACCAAAACAAGCACGATTACCAAAAGGACCAGACGAACCAGAACAATCATGATATCTAGAAGAACCACTGAGAAGAACCAAGAAAGTCAAAACAAAAGAACCATCAGAATCAAAAGATCCACGCGAACCAGAAGAAACAGAGGCTGCAAGAACGAGAGAGTTAGGAGAACCGAAAAGAACCGGTGAACCTGACACCAACAAAAGCTAGGAAGAAAGGAAAACCGTCATAAGGTCAGCTGTGATTATAAGAAGGAGGATAAGCTATCTTTCGTGGCTCCTTACATGCTATTAAAGGGTCCCTGACTAGCCAAAATAGCTTCTTTTTTTGTCTCCCTCTCCTTTCCACTTTTTATGTTACCAGAAAATTAGCTGAAGCGAATAAATGATTCAACAATGTATAATGACACAAAACAATAAGGAATAAAAGTAAGATTTGAGTGGCGGTTTAAATTTCACAACAGCCAATGTAAAGATTTGATATCTTGTCTGTTTAGTTTATATCAGTCCGTGATTTTATTACTTTTGGCACTTTAAGTTTAAGGTAATTTATAAAGCTTAATTTTTCTTCGTTCCAACCTTATTAGAACCTCTGGTGGATCCCCAGGAACAATGGCCACCTCCTGAGTATACATGGCTTGTCTCCTATCTTTCCTGACGACAAGTGTTATCAAATACGAACTGTTCTCTGCCATATAACCGCTGTTTATCTTCAGCAACGACACACCAGATCCTATTTTCCCCGCACCAGTTCCATAACATCCTCCTCGGTCCAAATTTACCTGCGATGAACTGGGAAGGGGGGAGGATATTTCGAGCAAGTCACTGGTGAAATTCTCTGAGGATTGTCTGCATACCCAAGTAAAATTCATACCTGGAAAAAGATAAAATAAAATAAATAAAAAAATAAAACAGAAAATCAACACGAATAAAAGAGACATCGTTTCTTTGGCACAGTTATGACAGCTTCAGCTTAATGTACCCAAAAAGGGGAAAGGAAGGCTGAAGTATAGTATACAATAAGTGACCAGTTAATAGCTTGTGTACAAGGTAAAGCTGCTCAAACCATAACCTTTGATGTTTTATGTTCTGCCTTCTCGTGCTAAAAAATGGAACAAATGGTTGATGCATTGTTTATAGTGGAAGTGCACTTAAATCAGTTCTCTATATTGTTTACAAGCTCTCCACTTTAAGTCCAATCAAATAATAAAAATATAAAATAACAGGATTAAAAATACCAAGTCGTAGGAAGCAATCAGGGGTCAATTTAAAAAAACCATCACAAGTGTAGTGTTCCCATTGTTTTATTGTCTGAAAACAATAGCTACACTTGTAATAGTTTTATTAAATTGACCCCCCAGTTAGTTATTGACATGTATGTTAGAGAACTTGAACTCTACCCTGAGAAAACAGCCTACATTTTGCCACGCTACCACTGGCGTCCCCGCGAAATGACCCCTCAGAAACTAAATTTGTTTCGTCCAATCAGAAGCACTACCCAGATTTGGGTAGTGACGCGTCATCAGTATGGAATTTCTGCGCTCGTTTCTCAGACGTCATTTCGCGGGGACACCAGTGATGACGTCACGAAATGTGAGCTGTTTTCTCAGGCTATTTGAACTCGGGACGACTGACGAACAAATCCAGTTGGTGGTGAGAGCGGGATCAAACCCTCGACTAGGCCGGATTTCAAGCCCGACACTGATCACTCGGCCAAGCTGCCTTCTTGTAAGGCTGGTTACTAATGGTGGCTGCAGGTGCTATTTTCGACAGAATTTTTCTGTCCTTAACAAAAAAAAGTTGACAGTTGTTGTGAAACGCAATCAGATAGAATTGGGGTAATAGAAGTGTCCACCATTGCTGTCGTGGGAGAAAGTGGGAGAGTAAAGGCAAACTTACCGGCGTCAGGTAACACAGCATCTGGATCGCCGGAAAAGGAAGCATCGAACTCCAACGTTTTATTAAATCCTCGTTCCACTCTAGTTCCACCAGAAATTAGCGCAATCAAGGGGCTTCGCTCGATGCGAAAATAACCTTTATTAACTCCATACACCTTGGTTCCTCTCATGCTGACAGTGAGTATCACCATGTAGCTGCCTGCTCCTAAAGTTCTTCCTCTTATGAGTAATTCCGAGGAACCCTTTCTATTGAGAACCAACTCATTTCCCTCGTGCATAGAATTTATCTTGAAAACAGTCCAGTTAAAAATCGTCTTGTAAGAAAGTTCGCAGTCAAGTTTCACTTCAGACGGAATCAGCAACTGACTGACTGGTCGCACTATAAGAGCATCAGATACAGAGTCTGATAATGTTGGTAGACTCACCTTCGGACTGTTGCATTTACCCTCTAAAATACGAAGGAATTCAGGTACTTCATATTAATCACAATTATTTGTAATTTCCATATGACTTCATGTTTGCCAAAATTACTTCCGTCAAGCGGAGCATTCACCTTTTCCACATAAACCTTAATGCACCTTGTTTACCCCTCGATGTGGAGGCGTGTGTTACCGAGCTGTTAACACCTCGAACTCTGGATCTAGAGGTCCGGGGTTCAAGCCTCGCCCGTCGCGTTGTTTCCTTAGACAAGGAACTTTACTCCACTTTGTCTCTCTTCACCCAGGTGTATAAATGGGTACCGGCGACATACTACTGGGGGGTAACCCTGCGATGGACTAGCATCCCGTCCAGGGGGGAGTAGCAATACTCCTAGGCATGCTTCATGCTACGGAAACCGGTATAAGCTCCGGCCGTGTGGGCCTTTGGCTGGTGTGCGCCTTTACCTACCTTACCCCTCGATTACGATGTTTGTGCAAATTTTGTAAATTAAACAAGGTGCATTGTGGTCTATGTGAAAATGATGAATTAAGGCTAAGGGACGCATCCTGATGTCCATCATAAAGAAGATGAATCTCATTAGCTTGCAGTTCAGGGCATATCTACTTCTCTTAATGTTAAGGTACCAGGGGAAAGGACGGCTGAATATGCCTCGGATATAAACAACCTAATCTACTGCCAAGGATGTTTAACCTTTTAGGAAAAATAATTAAACAAGACCGATGTAAAGTGATCAACAATAGAATAAAGTATAACAAATGGATGCAAAACACTTTTCTGCAGGGCATGTTAAGTTGTGATATTTAAAATCTTACCTGCTATGTAAGAACCACAATATGGGCCAGTAAACTGTTCTAAGCATGCGCACCGAAATCCTTGTACTTGTATAACGCAGCTACCACCATTTAGACATGGCACCGCAGTAAAAAGACAGGGATTAACTAAATTGATTCAGGCAAAATGTAAATAAACAATCAGAACACTACCAGCATGAAAGGACAAATCAGTCCGGTTTGACTGCCTTTCCTACGACACAAATCTGACAAATCGTAAGGTGTAAGTTCCCTGGGGGGCGGACACGGTACGGGACACGACGCGTTTGAAGGTTAGAAACACTTAAAAAAATTAATTAGCAAACTGGCTGTGTAGGATATTCAGTAACAACCTCTGCTTTGGAACCCTGTTTTAGACACGACAAAATGCACAGTTAAGATTCTTTTCGGGACATAGTAAAGACAAGACACCATACTCTGTTAGCCTCTCGGTCTCGGTGTTTAAGTCAACCTTGCAAGTCGCAAAATAAAGAATAGATCATTCCAATCCTGTTGTGATCAGTGTCATCAATAAGGTCCAGGATCTCCTTTGAAAAGCTGAGCAGAGCTTGCTGAGATCTCCTGCTCATGTATACCACCAAATACCAAAGGTACAATAATAATTTTACATTGATGGGCAAATAAATGACTTATCGTAAGAAGAACATGTGCTACAATAAATCCTGCAACGGTTTTATCCTTTTCAATTTGGCTCTAAGACTTACATAGTGAAGCTCTTCCCGACCTGCTGCACTAGGTGCTGTTTCTTGATCTAATGCACTATATGATACTTACAAACTTTTGTTCGGATACTCAGTGGCTGGGAATACCTTCCTACACCCATACTGGTGTACGCTGCCACCTGAATTACATATGACGTGTTATGCTGCACCCCATCCAAGACAGCTCTGAAGCCGCTAATAGACTGATTTCTCATATGTGATTGTGTTTCCCCGTACTGTACTAAATATCCTTGAATTATACCATTTTCGGAGCCTTTAGGAACTGGATCCCACTCTATTATAATGGACTTCCAGTCAACGTATTCCACGCGAACATTAGCAGGAGCTTCATTGGGTACTGAAAAAAGGGCATAAAAATTGTAAGTGTCTTGTATAAAGCAGGTGGCGTTCGCCGCTTACGACCGCGGTGCATTATTTTGACATTTTCGCAAGATGGCGGCATTTGCCTAGATATTCGTAGGTCTACATATACAGAGGAGCAGCGAGAAGCCAAAGGTTGTAAAATAGGGCTCAGTGAATCCACTGAATTGACCATACTGTAACGAGAGGAAAGCTTCTATGCTATTTGTCTGAGAAACTTCGTTAGCTTTGCTTTGAATAAATTGGAAGTGCTCGGACCCCCGTCTAGCTAGTTCAAAGGCACTACACTTATTATTAATAATCATAAACAAATCATTACACTAAACATATCGAGATTTCAAATACAACTCGCCCGAGAAAAATCAGTTAGCTATTCATAAGCATCGCCAAGGAGTTCACAAGGAGAGTTATTAGGAGTTCACAAGAAATTTAAGGGCCTAGAGGCAAAGCTGCATTGGCCAGACACCCTGTTTGCGTGTTCGACGCGCTGAGTCACACTTGGCCGCTATAGAAGTCTTTTATCAGCTAGTTATTCGTTTACTTTTAGCTACTTGGACGTCAACTTGCGCCTGATGTTTAACTCACCGCCCTCCATAGTTCGCACTTTAACAGCCACGCTCTTGGGTCCTTCGCCGCCAACATTTACCGCCGAGACGCTTGCGGTATAGAGTGTGAAGATTCCAAGATCGTTAAATACAGCATTGTTTGCTTTCGATGCATTTACCGACACTACCATGTAATCGCTAGGTGTGTCAGCAAGACTAAAATAGACATTGTATTGTATAATTTCTGGTCCGAGTAAGTCGTCTTCCTGTGGGTAGTCACTCCAACTGACATTCACACTTGTTGTACTTGTCGACTCTCCTCTGACGTAACGTGGGGCATACAGGGGAGGAGGCCGATCTTAAAAGTACAAGGAGAATTTTGGGAGTTAAAAGAATATCTTTCGGTTAAACTTTTCAGAATTTTTGAATTATAAAGGTCTTACTATTGCACTGCTATATTTATGTTAGGTTGAACAAATACGCCCCATTTTCAAAATCATTCACAATCTCCCGTGATGTGCCGGCGCTTTCTCCTGCTTTAAGTGGACAAAACTGGTTTGAATCTTGTTCTTATCGTCTAATTGCCCGGGCTTAATTACAATTGGTGTGATTAGTAGTAATAGTAGTGGTAGTAGTAGTGGTAGTAGTAGTAGTAGTGTTGGTGGTGGTGGTGGTGGTGGTGGTAGTAGTAATAGTTGTAGTAGTGTAGTTATGAATATATGAAAATCATATATGCGAAATGCGGGGTGAAGAATTATATGAATGAAGATCATCGCAGTTACAGACGCAACTTTAGCAGTTGCGGAAAGAAAGCCGCAAAAGATAGTAGTAGTGTTGGTGGTTGTGATGGTAGTAGTAGCAGCAGCAACACCAGTGGCAGAAATAATAAAAGTAGTGGTGGTGCGCGTGCACTTAAGGTAATACTAAAAATACTGAAAACACAGCTCTGAAAATATGATGTATAATTACCAGCTTCGTATATTTTTTGTTCGCACATGATCCCTGTAAATCCTGATGGACACACACAGAAAGTTACGACTGAGTTAGGGAGGCCACTTCTTTTACAGGTACCACCA